ACAGATAGTCCTCAACTTACAATCGTTCATTTAATGACAGTTTGAAGTTACAATGGCACTGAAAAAAGTGATTTATGGCCATTTTTCACCCTTGCAGCATCCCCAAGGTCACATGATCAAAATTTGGTTGCTTGGCAACCAGCGGGTATTTGTGACGGTTGAAATGTCCCAGGGTCATGTGATCATCTTTTGTGACTTTCTGGCACGCAAAGTCAATGGGGGGAACCAAATTCACCTAACTACCATGTTACTAACGCAGGGGTAGGCAACCTTGGCTCTTTTATGACTCATGGACTTCAACTCCCAGAACTCCTGAGCCAGCCATGCTGAGGGGAAAGGGAGAGTTTCCAAGCTGAGCCATACTGGCTCAGGGATTCTGGGAGTTGAAGTCCATGAGTCATAAAGCGGCCTAGGCCTAGGCCAGGGGTAGGCAACCTTGGCTCTTTTATGACTCGTGGACTGCAACTCCCAGAACTCCTGAGCCAGCATGGCTCAGCTTGGGAAACCTCTCCCTTTCCCCTCAGCATGGCTGGCTCAGGAAATCTGGGAGTTGAAGTCCACAAGTCATAAAGGAGCCAAGGTTGCCTACCCCTGTACTAACTCAACAACTGCAGCAATTCACTTAACAACCGTGGGAAGAAAGGGCATAAAGCAGGGCAAAGTTCACTTAACAAATGTCTCACTTAGTGACAGAAAATTTGGGCTCAGTCGTGATTGTAAGTCAAGGACTACCGGTATTCTGTTTGGGCCAAGTCAGAAGTTTTCAGCCGTTTTTTAAAAAAAAATTTAAAAATATATTCATTTTAAATAAATTGTGGAGGTCAGGGGCAAAGTTGAGTCATTCGAGAGATTCCCTGACCTTTCCAGGCACCACTTTGTTGAATGGAGAATCCTTTTGATCATCACCCTTTTTTATGCCAAAAAATAAAGTTTCTGTTCTTTCATTTCCAGGTTCCTTTATTTCATTGTTGACATCGTCGGCCAAACTGGCTACTCCCGTCTACCCAACCAAGCAGGATAAAAATATAGACAGCAAGAAAAGCCTGTTAATAGATAAAAAAAAAAAATCATCTCACCATGGATATAAAACAAGAACACGCCAACTCTGGATGCTGTAATTCCGCAGAAAGGATATTGTGGTCTTTGTGCATGTCTGCCCTCATTTTAAAACATGTTACAAGATTATGTAAGAGGGAACGTGTGGGCAATGCTGCTAATAATCTCAGAAACCTGTGGTTGAATAGAGTTTCCAGTTCCTCAGCGTTTTGTGTAGCTCTTTGTCCTTCCTAATGATTGAAAAAGAATAAATTACACAAGAAGGTTATAATGCAATGTGTAATGAGGTCCCTTACAGCACGTGCATTTTTTATAAGGAAGCGGATTGGTAGATTCCGATTCTTGACAGATCAGGAAACAGATTTTCCCCACAATATGAGCTAATGCAGTGGTTCTCAACCTGTGGGTTGGGACCCCATTTGGGGTCAAATGACCATTTCACGGGGGTCGCCAAACAATGCAGTCCGCCATTTTTTTCCCCCTTTTCCTTAGCTGTGCTACTCCCTTTTATTCTATTGGCTTTTGAAAGCCAATAGAATAGACTCTCTTGAATAGAGTCTAATTCTATTGGCTTTCAAAAGCCAATAGGAATTGTCCAGGCTGTCTCTGCCCTGCTGAGCCCGCCAAAAGTCGCATTCTGCAAACGGTGCTGCACCAGTTGAGTAGTCCTCGACTTACGACCGGTTGAGTAGTCCTCGACTTACGACCCGTTGGGGGTTGCGGCATTAAAAAGGTTGAGAACCACTGAGCTAATGGAAGATTTATTGTGATCTGAATTGAATAGCATAGAATAATAGAGTCGGAAGGGACCTTGTAGGTCATCTAGTCCAACCCCCCTTGCCCAAGCAGGTGACCATTTCTGACAGATGGCAGTCCAGTCTCTTCTTGAAAGCTTCCAGTGATGAAGCTCCCACAACATCTGAAGGCAATCTGTTCCATTGGTTGATGGTTCTCACTGTCAGGAAATTTCCCCTTATTTCCAGGTTGAATCTCTCCTTGATCAGTTTCCACCTGTTATTGCTTGTCTGGCTTTCAGGTGCTTTGGAAAATAGGTGGACCTCTCTGTGACAGCCCCTCAAAATTGGAAGACTGCTATCATGTCTCATCTGGTCTTTCTCTTCACTAGACTAGCCGTGCCCAGTTCCTCTAACTGTTATTCATGTGTTTTAGCCTCCAGTCCCTTAATCATCTTTGTTGCTCTTTTTCTAGAGTCTCAACATCTTTTTTATAGTGTGGTGACCAAAACTGAATTGTGGTGTTCCATTAAAAACAGAATGTTCTGGGATTTATAATATCAGCAGCATGACTTTATTTTCGAATCATACCAGTTTAGCCTTGCAAAAGGTTTTTTTTTTTAAATTCTTTATCTTGATAGCTGTCACTATTCTGTTATATATTCAAGATGGACAGTGTTTAATATTTATTTGTTATGTATATGTAGGGGTGTAGGTCTATGCATATGTTGTATATAGTATGTTTAGATGTGCATCATGTATGTGTTCACTTTGAGAGCAGGCAACCAAATTTCATTTTTGATGCTTGCCATTGTGCCCACATGACAATAAAGGTTGTCTTATCTACTATTCTGGTTACTTAAGCTTTATGCTAAAGTAAGGAATGATGTGAAAATTCAAAAATGAGATTTAATACAGTCCAGTAATTTAATTTTATTTCTGAAGAAAAGAACAAATATTTCAATAAGTAAAAACATTCCAGCAGGTCCTCCCTTTTTTCTTATTCCAAACATTGGAGTTGAAAGATTGCTTTTAAAAATTTATTTGTACACATAACAAAGGGAGAGTTTATCAATATATTAAAAAGCATTTTTCAGAGAGGGAGGGAGGGAGGGGGGGGAGGTTTGGTCTAAAAGTTAAAGCACCAGGCTAAAAAACAGGAGATGGTGAGTTCTAATCTCGCCTTAGGCGTGAAAGGCAGCCTAACAATAGGGTTGTTCTAGAAAAATAGGAGTAAGACGTAGTATTATGTATGTTTTCTGCCTCTAGTTATTTATACAAAATAATAAAGCAGGGATATAAACAAACAAATAAAGAGATAGGCAGGCAAACAAGAAGCTACTATCACTTTTTTAAAAAAAAAATTACGAACCAAATTGGCTTCTCTCTACAAGATTAGCAAATTCTTCACCAGTATGAAGAATATGCTAACCTCTTGAAACTCATACATATACATAACAAATAAATATTAAACATTGTCCATCTTGAATATATAACGGAATAGTGACATTTGGAAAAATAATAAAGTCCAATACCATGTTGGTGCACAAATTACTCACTACTGTATATCCTAATTACCTTAACTCTGTTTTCTGAGGTTGTGGGGACACTAACAGAGTTTGCTCTTGCCTTTAATATTTGCTTTTCTCTCTCATGACAAACTACAAAAGTACATAGAATTCAAACTGGGACTCTGATTCCCAGAGACATAAGCAACGCTGGATACAAGAATGAAAGATGGAAGAATCAGCAGCTTTCTAACATTGAGGAGTCTCTGAAATTTTTCACTGAATGCTGGTAGGAAATGCCATGGTAGTTGCAAAAATAAATTGCCTCTGCGCAGGAAGACTGAGAAGTAGGGTGGGGTTCCCCTGCTGTAGTTCATAAAGTGCTCATAAACATTCCACTTTCAGTTGATTGCATTAAAACAATGTCTCCACAAAGCTAAAAAGCCCAAGTATTCTTTTGGATTTTTTTTCTTTCTTTCAGCAAAACAAAACACGTTGGCTCCAATTAATCAGTCCAGGAGGAAAGGATGCCACTGTGGCTTACTAACTAAGCCAGTGGTTCTCAACCTTTTTAATGCCACGACCCCCAACCGGTTGTAAGTCGAGGACTACTCAACTGGTGCAGCACCATTTGCAGAATGGGACTTTTGGCGGGCTCAGCAGGGCAGAGTCAGCCTGGACAATTCCTATTGGCTTTTGAAAGCCAATAGAATTAGACTCTATTCAAGAGAGTCTATTCTATTGGCTTTCAAAAGCCAATAGAATAAAAGGGAGTAGCACAGCTAAGGAAAAGGGGGAAAAAAATGGCGGACTGCGTTGTTTGGCGACCCCCGTGAAATGGTCATTCGACCCCAAATGGGGTCCCGACCCACAGATTGAGAACCACTGAACTAAGCGATTGCATCAAAGAATGTAAATGCTGATTGTTTGTACTTTCATCTGAATGTATGCATATAGTCCTTGAGTTACAACCATTCGTTAGAGTGACCTTTCAAAATGACAAACAGCGCTGAAAAAAGTGCTGTTTTCACACTTACAACCATTGCAGCACCAACATGGACACATGATCAAAATTTGGACGCTTGGCAACTGACTCATATTTACGACGGTGGCAGCGTCCCGGGGTCATGTGATCCCCTTTGGCGACCTTCTGACAAGCAAAGTCAATGGGGAAGCCAGATTTACTTAACAACCGTGTGACTAACTTGAAAACTGCAGTGATTCACTTAACGACGGTGGCAAGAAAGGTCGTAAAATGGGGCCAATCTCACTTAACAACTGCCTTGCTTAGCAAGATAAATTTGGGGCTCAGTTGTGGACGTAAGCCGAGGACTATTTGTATTTTGCTTTTCTGTGCAGGAGCATGTTTATATGTGAATTGTTATTAAGAGTCCTTGGGGCCTTTTTGATTTTATTCTTATGTGCATTTTCAATCCAAGTGCTTGACAGGACATGGCTGCTGCTTGTTCTTCAATTGGAGCCACCTATGAGCCCAGCAAATAAATAAAGCATCCAGGTTTGCAAAAGGATTGGGGGGAAGGGGGGAGGTCTTGTCTTTGACTGCAAGGTTGACTACATTTCCCAGAATTCCCCCTTAGCAAAGCAGCCACCATGGGTTAGTTCAGGAAACAGTTGTTCCAACACATCTAGGAAACATCAGTGTGGAGGAGGCTTCTCTATCAAAAGCAAGTAGGCCCAAACTAGTGTGGCAGTTGCTGACCTCTATGGTCGCCACTGCTTTGCTGTTGTCTCCTAGCAACTGGAACAAACGGTTGACTCAAGCATCCTGTTGCTAGGAGACAAGCATCCTTAGCACTACCCTGTCTTTTTTAGCAGAGGGAGCTGGATCCCTTTGGTCAGCTGTTGCAAGAGCTTGCCCTAATGCCAGTCAACGTGTATCCTGCCCCTTGGTGAGCAAGTAACAATAAGCCGATGAAGTGTGCAGGTGACAAGGAAGGGATGTCTATTTGGAACAAGCATCATGGTGAACAGTCACTCTAGAACTTATTTTAGGAACCGTATGACCTTGAAAGCTGACTCAATCCTAGTTAAAGCTGGCTTCAAAACAATGAGCTAAATTAAAATGCTTAAACATTAAGGTGACCAACCGTCTTCCTTTAGGGAGGACAGTCCTCCTTTTGTGAGTTCTGTCCTCCCTCGAAAAGTGTCCTCCTACATGTCCTCATTTTCGATATTTGAAGACTAATCTGCAGGGCTTTTTTTTTCTTCTCATAAAACGCTCAGAACGGCGTTCCGGCACCTTTTTTTGATGGTTTTTTTTCAACTTTTGCATGAGCTTGCTACTCCCGCTATTGGCTTTTGAAAGCCAATAGGAATTGCTGCTGAGAGTGCCAAAACACCCGGCCGGCAAACTTTGCACCTGCAAGTTGTCTGTATTATTGTTGCAATGAATAAAATGTTTCTTTTATTTACGATATTTTTTTCTTCAATTTATTTGTGTCCTCCTTTTCATTGTAAAAAAGTTGGTCACCTTATGAAACATGGCTTATTTGAATAAACCGCAATTGGCTGGCACTAAAGCCTCCGCTGTAACCAAACTAACTTATTTTGACATCTAGATGCAAGACAAGATTAGAAACTGGGCTTGGCCTAGGATGCTCACAGTTTCCCAGTTGAAACTATGGTTAAGTCTGTCCATGTGTTGTGAAATTAAATTTTCATCATGTCTTTTGACTATTAGTTGGTGTTCAGAAGGGTGCTGTACTAGACTTCTGCCCGTTTATCCTATATAGTGTCTATTACAGGAGTCCAATACCTTGGCAACTTTAAGACCTGTGGACTTCAACTCCCAGAATTCCCCAGCCAGCCATGCTGGGCCTATTACACTCTTGCATTGGTTGTATTGTAGTGAAGAGTGGAGAGCAAACCCACTCTCTTTTAGTGCTGATGTTATTACCTGGCTGGGTAATGAAATGTCTGCAAGAAAATAACCAAACTCAGAGAGCGCCAAGGACCCCACAAGGTCCAAGATGCTAACAAATTCAGTCAAGGACCATCCACCCGGTTATTGAAAAGCCTAAAAGAGCTTGTCAAGTTTCAAGAAAACTTCCTTTAAGAAAAGTAGCTCTTTGCTGACATCTAGGGATTGCATAGTCTTTGCAATCCAGAGATGATAGCCCTGATAACAGAGAATATTTGTAGCTCAGACTTGAACTATATGGGAACTTTGGTGCTCTCTGAGCTTGCTGGTTTTCTTGCAGACATTTCATTACCAAACTAGGTTGTGTCATCAGTGCTAGAAGGAAGTAAGGTTTGCTCTCATTTTCATATATTTGTGGCTTGCCTGATCAGCATTGGCGGGAGTGTTCTTGGTGGTTCCTCGATTAGACTATTGTTTACACTTAGCTGATTTGTCTGCTTTACTAGTTCCCTGACTAGGGTATTGTTTACTTGATTCTTGGTGTAGTGTGAATCTTGGATGGTAGCCATATTCTGCACAATCAGCTTTGTTGAAGGGAGTGGTCAAGAAACAGGCAACAAGGAGGAGTATAACGCTAATGGGCCTCTAGGTAACGGTGTCTCCTGCCTTCACCATATTTAAATTAGGATTTATAGATCTGCCAAGGTCATCAATGTTTGTATTGATCACAAAGTTTCTTTTCCTCACAGTTGAACGGTCATTAAATAAGGCAGTTGCCAAAGGAAGACTACCTGTATGTCCTTTGGCAAAACACAAACAAATGTTGATGAACTGAATATTGTAAGGAAAGCTAGTAGATTTCCCAGTTCATTTTAGAACTATTGTAGCCCAGAGACGTTTGCTTTAAATGCTGGCCATACCTCTTTCCTTCCAGGTATAAAGAAAAATTGCCTTCCAAGTGTTTTCAAAAACAGGCCAGTAACAAAGAGAGATTCTCTGATTCTCTCAACGCTCAGCGATGGAAATTCCTGAAAAATGGCCTGGATGATTTCAGAAGTGGCTGCCCTCCACCTTCGGACAACATAATAATTCAAGGCACAAAAGGGCCCATGCCGATAATCCTACAGTATAAGAAACGGGATACTTCGCAGATTGTCTCGTACAAATCCAGAGACTTGCTGAGTAAGCACAAAGTACTTCGCTCCAGACTTCCTACACCTCAGAAAGCCAAGGCAGACAACATTACTCAGACCAAGCATACCCAGGTACAACACCCACTGGCACTTTATCCACATCTGGAAGAGAGTGTGCCTCCAGAGGTAAAATGAACTTGTTCATTTATTTATTTTGTATCCCGCCTTTATTCTTTTTACAAATAACTCAAGGTGGTGGACAGATCCAACACACTTTCCTTCTCTTGTTTTCCTCAAAACAGCCACCCTGTCAGGTAGGATGGGTTGAGAGAGAGTGTCTGGCCCAAAGTCACTCAGCTGGCTTTCATGGCTGAGGCAGAATTAGAACTCGCAATTTCCTGATTTCTGCTACCTTAACCACTAGACCAAATGGTCTAAAAATGCAATAAAATGAATTTCTCCTTCATTATTAATCAATGATACAGTTAATCTACCACTACTACTACTACTACTACTACTACTACTACTACTACTACTACTAGTAGTAGTAGTAGTAGTAATAACAACAACAACAAAGTTGGAAGAGACCTTGGAAGTCATCTAGGAATTGGGTATGTCTAGTCTAGTGAAAAGAAGGACTGTGGGAGACATGATAGCAGTCTTCTGATATTTGAGAGGCTTCCACAAAGAAGAGGGGGTCAAATTATTCTCCAAAGCACCAGAGGGCAGGACAAGAAACAATGGTTGGATTAATCATGTCTTTAGATAATGAGGGGCTGCCACAAAGAAGGGGGGGGTCAACCTATTTTCCAAAGCACCAAAAGCAAGACAAGAAACAATAGATGGAAACTAATATAGAAGAGAAGCAACCTAGAACTAAGGAGAAACTGCCTAACAGTGAGAACAAATAACCAGTGGAATGACTCGTGTCCGGAAATTGTGGATGCTCCATCACTGGAGGCTTTTAAAAAGAGACTGGACAACCACTTGTCTGGAACGGTACAGGGTACAGGTTTTCCTGCCTGAGCAGGGGGTTAGACTAGAAGACTTCCAAGGTCCCTTCCAACTTTATTATTCTGTCGTTCTCCTAAGCCAGGGGTAGTCAACCTTGGCTCTTTTATGACTCGTGGACTTCAACTCCCAGAATTCCTGAGCCAGCTAAGCTTTAAAGTCCACGAGTCATAAAAGAGCCAAGGTTTTAATTCCTGAGCCAGCTAAGCTTTAAAGTCCATGAGTCATAAAAGAGCCAAGGTTGACTACCCCTGTCCTAAGGTCTTTATTTTCATATGTCTTTAATGATAAATATACATTAATATGATAAATCTTCAGTCAGAAATACAGATGGTGAGAGTCAGAAAGAGATAACATTAAGGAAGTAAGATAACCATATAGGTAAAAATAGTTGGGGTCTGAGAAAGGAAGAGGGAAGTATAAATAGTTGTTTTTAAGGAAATGGCTAGCCAGGAAGTATAGGAAAGAAGGAAACCAGGCCAAATAAGATAAGAAGAGAATGATGAATTGAAATGATGAATTGAATTGAAAAGCAGGAAAAGAGCTTATTGTGGAGACAGAAATAAATATATTGAGTTTAAAAATAACCATAAGAAAATAATTTTTCTTATTCTTATTGTATATGTGAATATGATTTAGTGTGTTATCAGGAAATGTGTATAGGCGGACGGAAAGAGTGTAACCTCATACTACCTCAGCCAATGGGGAAAGAGGAGGGCTGTAGCGGCCGGTGATAGGGATGAATAAAAGAAGGAGATATTTTGGGTTAAAACTTTGGAGAGAACCAAGCTTTGAACTTCTCTCCCCGCTTATTGCAATAAACGAAACAAAAGGCCTTCACTGTGTCTTGGCTGGTTATTGGTCAGGCGAACTTGCCTCTGGTCACGAAGGAAAGTAGCCAGGAGCACATAACATTTAATAATTCAGTGTCTTTCTCACAATGGAATCTGTAGCAAAAACCTTGGGCTCTTTGCAATGGCCCTCTGATTTTGCTTATTTGCACCTTGCTCTGCTTTTTCCAACCCCCTACCCCCATCGGATATTTGACATTGTTCAGACAGGAAAAACAGTGTCATATTTTGCTGTACCCTCACAGCTTTTTGATGACGTTATGAAGCTCCTGGACCCTGGGATGCAGCTGACTCGAACATCCCCAGATTATAGTAAAGAGGACGCGGCTATCCCTTCGCCTACTCAATATCGTGTGAAGTATGATGGGGCCCCAAAGAGAAGCTACAGCTCCACCCTTCCGTGAGTAGTGAAATCAGCAAAATGCAAATTTAACAAATAAAAGTGAAATAAATAAATAAAAAATTAGGTGATCCAATTCCCATGCTGTAGCCAAATGATGGGCAGCGTTTAGGTCAGGGGTAGGCAACCGTGGCTCTTTTAGGACTCGTGGACTTCAACTCCCAGAATTCCTGAGCCAGCATGGCTCAGCTTGGAAACTCTCCGTTTCCCCTCAGCATGGCTGACTCAGGAATTCTGGGAGTTGAAGTCCACGAGTCCTAAAAGAGCCAAGGTTGCCTACCCCTGGTTTAGGGCTTTGCTGTGGGCTGAGCTGAGAATAAACATGGAGGTGAATTCTTGTGGAACGAACCTCTGGATTATACCTTTCCAAAGCGTGTCTCAGATCTTCATATTTGATTACATTAATGCAGTATTTAACAAATAAAAATAAAAGAAAGAAAAATTTAGGTGACCCAATTCCCCATGCCGTAGCCAAACGGTGGGCAGTGCTTGGGCTTTGCTATGGGTTGAGGTATGAAGGAAAATGGTTGTGGACTCTTGTGACACAAACTTCTGGACTGTATCCTTCCAAAGTGTGCCTCAGATCTTCCTATTTGATTACATTAATTAATTTATACAATTTATTGGCTGCCCATGTTACCCTAGGGCAGGGGTAGGCAACCTTGACTCTTTTGTGACTTGTGGACTTCAATATCCAGAATTCCTGAACCAGCCATGCTGAGGGGAAAGGGAGAAGTTTCCAAGCTGAGCCATGCTGGCTCAGGAATTCTGGGAGTTGAAGTCCACAAGTCATAAAAGAGCCAAGGTTGCCTACGTCTGGCCTAGGCCTAGGTCGCTTTATGACTTGTGGACTTCAACTCCCAGAATTCCTGAGCCAGCATGGCTCAGCATGGAAACCTCTCCCTTTCCCCTCAGCATGGCTGGCTCAGGAATTCTGGGAGTTGAAGTCCACGAGTCATAAAAGAGCCAAGATTGCCTAGACCTGCCATACGGTAACTCTGGGCAGCTTACAGTTACATATACAGTTAAAACATAAAAAGTTAAAATCAGACATTAAAACCAAGGACACGGCGAGGGTAGGGATGGAGTGGAGGGGTGGAGGTGGGATCTGTTGTTAATCAATCACCTCTATTGCACTGTTCCCACACTGGAGGCCCAAGTCGACTGATCTTTAGGCCCTTACAAAAAGATATGAACAGAATGAATGCTCTTGTAACTTTGAAGAGCACTAAGCCAATGGATGTAAGTCCAAGACTACCAGTACTCTAGCAATTATTATTATTATTATTTGGTTTTATTTTTGTCTCATTCATTTAATGACGGACTCTACACTTTTTGTATCTATAGCTGGATGCAGAAAAAAAAGAACCCCTACACCTGGTTTAGTAAGAAAGAGGTGTCGGAGAGACAACAGGCAGCCAAAATAGATTACGTTCCCCCCCTGGATGAAAACGTCAAGCGGGTAACAAAGGAATTTTGTGAATGGGTTAATGCAATGGTAAGTAAAAATATCTGTGGAAGAAAACCGCTACCACAACTGAGCAGGCAGTGTCAACGCAGCAAGCAAAAACACATCCCTCGTTTGATACCTTTATTTTAGGTGGTCCTTGACTTACAACCGTTCGTTTAATTACATGAATACAGGCCAACTCTGGGAGACAGTGCAGGCCGGGGATGGGGGAGAGGGGCTGGTGTGTTATGGTTCATGCGATCCAAAGAGTTGGACACACTTAGCGACTAAACAGCAACAGCAATGCATAGTGATGACAAGCGAATTTTTCTAATGGAAGAAGGGTGGTGTTGAATCAACACACAAACTAACAGCAGGTCTCTACTAAAGACAATAAGAAAGCATCTGGATGGATCTTCAAACTTGGCCCTTGGCACGCTGGCTGAGGAATTCTGGGAGTTGAAGTCCACAAGTCATAAAAGGGCCAAGTTTGAAGACCCCTGTGGTACCCAATACACTTGTATCGGGCCCAAAATTTCCGTTGCTAAGCGAGACATTTGTTAAGTGACTTTTGCCCCATTTTGCGACCTTTCTTGCCATGGTTCTTAAGTGAATCACTGCAGTTGTTAAGTGAGTAACACGGCTGTTAAGTGAATTTGGCTTCACTTAATTGACTTTGGTTGTCAGAAAGTCACAAAAGGGGATCACATCACCCCCGGGACGCTGCAACCGTCGTAAATATGAGTCAGTTCCCAAGCATCCAAATTTTGTTCACGCGACCGTGGGGATGCTGAAACGGTTGTTAAGTGTGACAAGCAGTCATAAGTCACTTTTTTCAGTGCTGTTGTAACTTCAAACGTCACTAAACGAAGTGATGTACGTCGAGGACTACCTGTAACTATTATTCCTATCTGACATTAACACAATGAAATAATAATAATAGTAATAATAATAGTAGTAAAAATAGTAATAATAATTATAATGTTGGAAGGGACCTTAGAGGTCATCTAGTCCAACCCCCTGCTCAGGCAGAAATCCCTATACCATTTCAGACAAATGGCTGTCCAGTCTCTTCTTAAAAACTTCCAGTGTTGGAACATTCACTGCTTCTGGAGGCAGGTTATTCCACTAGTTCATTGTTCTCACAGTCAGGAAGTTTCTCCTTAGTTCTAGGTTGCTTCTCTCCTGGATGAGTTTCCATCCGTTGCTTCTTCTCCTGCCTTCCAGAGCTTTGGAGAATAGCTTGACACCCTCTTCTTTGGGGCAGCCTCTGAGATACTGGAACCCTGCTATCATGTCCCCTCTCGTCCTTCTCTTCATTAAACTAGACATACCCAATTCCAGCAACTGTTCCTTGTATGTTTTAGCCTCCAGTCCCCTAATAATCTTTGCTGCTCTTCTCTGTACTCTTTCTAGAGCAGTGGTTCTCAACCTTTTTATACGGCGACCCCCGTTCACATGGACGCGCCGCGCATGTGTGGCGCGCATGCGCGGTGCCGCCCCCTGGCAGATCGCGTTGTTTGGCGACCCCCGTAAAATGGCCGTTCGACCCCAAATGGGGTCGCGACCCATAGGTTGAGAACCGCTGTTCTAGAGTCTCAACATCTTTTTTACATCGTGGTGACCAAAACTGGATGCAGTATTGCAAGTGTGACCTTACCAAGGCATTGTAAAGTGCTATTATTAGAATATTAGAAAATATTTGACTTTTGAACCACTTCCCCAGATCAGAGGATCATTGATTTTCTCAGCATGCCTGCTGCATGTCACGTTTTATCTCGGTTCTCTTTTGGTTACCCATTAAGCAGAAGTAGCCTTGAGAACCAATTTGGAAATCAGAAACGCAGAAATATAAACCTAAGGAGAATGTTGACATAGTTTTAAAACTTTTGCGATGGGGTAAAAAAATAAAAAAGAGGAAATAGGAAAGGATTTTCTAAAGAGGCTTGATGATTCAGCATGGATTGAAAGTCTGATTAGGGTATTCTGTACATGAGTCATGGCACTCTTGTGAAAGCCACAGTAGAGGACAGGAAAAAGAAGGGTGCCCTCAGCAATTATTGACCCATAATAAAAGCAAGTTTGCCCTATTATTATTATCGATCATCGCACAGTCAGCCAGATGTTCAGATTGGATTTGGCATTTTGTCTACCTATCGAGTCCTTACCCAGGACCTGGGATAGGCAGATGTGGATGTTTGATGGTATTACAGATATCGTCGCAGGATGGAAGCAGTTCCTAGCCAAGGCCGCCTTTTGCAATTGACTAATAGCGAATTTGTCAATGCCAATGGTGTTCAAGTGGTGCTCCAGTTGTTTTGGGATTGCACCCAAGGAGCCTATGACTATTGGTACTACCCTTGCTTGCTTTTGCCACAGTCTTTCTATTTCTATTTGTAGATCTTTGTATTTTGTTATCTTCTCCAGTTCTTTCTCGTCTATTCTGCTGTCTCCAGGCACTGCCACGTCCACTATCCAGACTTTTTTGTCTTTCTTATCAACAATTGTTAAGTCTGGGGTGTTATGTTGCAGGTGCTTGTCTGTTTGAATTCTGAAGTCCCAGAGCAGTTAATTTTATCATTTTCTATGACTTTCTCTATTTTATGATCCCACCAGTTTTTGCTTACAGGCAAATGATATTTTTTGCAGATCTTCCAATGCACCATTGTTGCTACTTGGTCATGCCGCTGCTTGTAATCAGTCTGTGCAATCTTCTTGCAACAGCTTACCAAGTGGTCCACTGTTTCTTCAGCTTCTTTGCGTAGGCGGCACTTACTGTCTGTTGCTGTCTTCTCAATTTTGACTTTGTATGCATTTGTCCTTAAGGCTTGGTCTTGTGCAGCCAGAATTAGTCCCTTGGTCTCTTTCTTCAGTTTTCCTGCTCTTAGCCATTGCCAGGTCTTGTTATTATCTGCTTTCCCAGCTATTTTTTTAATGTAGTGCTTTGCCTTGCCATGCCTCTATTCTGTTCTTCATTTGGTCTTTCTTATAGGCCAGTTTGGTCTCTCCAGTAATCAGTAAGCCTTCCTGATATACTAATTTCAGTGCATCTTCATCATTGTTCTTCAGATATTCTTCCAAAGCCATTTTTTTTCTTCAACCATCTGATGTACTTGTAGCATTCCACGCCCACCTATTTGCCTTGGTAGATAAGTCTGTCAATGTCACTGCATGGATGAAGGGCATGATTCATTGTCATTATTTTTCTGGTCTGCCTATCCATTGCTTTTAGTTCTGCTTGAGTCCAGTCCACTATTCCAGCTGTGTACCTAATGATTGGAATTGCCCAGGTGTTGATTGCCTTTATGGTATTTCCTCCATTGAGTTTGGACTTTAAGATATTCTTCACTCTCTTGATGTATTCACCTCTAATCTTTTTCTTGACTTCAGTGTGCTTGATGTTGTCAGCTTGAAGGATACCCAAGTATTTGTAGTACTCTTCCGCATCCAGACTCTTAATGTTATTTTCGTGGGGCATCTTGATTCCTTCAGTTTTCACTATTTTTCCTTGTCTGATAGTAAGTGTGGCACATTTGTCCAAGCCAAACTCCATTACAATATCTTGGCTATATATACGGACAGTGTTGAGCAGCGATTCTATTTCAGATGATGTTTTTCCATACAGCTTCAGATCATCCATATAAAGGAGGTGGGATAGTCTGGCAGATGTTTTGATGTTTGATAGCCATGTCCTGAGTTATTCAGTATTGTTGACAGAGGAAACAGTGCAATAACAAATAGTAATGGTGATAATGAATCTCCTTGAAATATTCCTCTCTTGATATTAACCTCTCCCAGCCTCTCACCATTTATCTGCAACTGTGTCTTCCATTGTGCCATCGATCTTTGCACAAATTTTCTGATGTTTCTACTGACTCCTGTTATTTCTAGGCACTTGATTATCCAGTCATGTGGCAGAGAGTCAAATGCCTTTTTGTAGTCAATCCATGCCACATGGTAGAGCACAGTTTAAAGCAGGGGCCTCCAACCTTGGCAACTTGACGACTTGTGGACTTCAACTCCCAGAATTCCTCAGCCAGCCATGCCCAGCTGGCTGAGGAATTCTGGGAGTTGAAGTCCACAAGTCATAAAATGGCCAAGGTTGGAGGCCCCTGCTTTAAAGGACTTTTAAAGAAGAACACACAACTTTGATTTAAGCTAGGCCTCCAGTGCAGGCAGGCGTGACAGTAATTTGACCACTGGACAATGTTCAAAGACAAAGAAAACTGAAGTACAGTACGGACTAAGAACGATACAGACGATTGTTGACTTATGACGATTCATTTAGTGACCGTTCCAAGTTACAACGGCACTGAAAAAAGTGATGACTGTTTTTCACACTCACAACCAAGAAGTGTTTGCAACGTTACCTGAATGTGCATGCTTGGTTTACTGTCCCAGGGAGGAGAGAAATATAATATTGATGAAGACACTATCATGAAGCTCTTTGACACGAGGTACGAAACGGATATCAAGACAGCCCTGCCCCTTAAAATAGTGGAGCTGTATCAAATACCAGCAGAGCTGAGACAATACCTGGGGAGGCATCGGTTCCGGAAGAGGAGTCCCACAAAGGTAAGGAGAGCAAAATGACGGTAACGGTAACAGACACTGAGATAGTTCTTGAGGGATTTGATAATGTGCGTGTCACGTAAAAAAAAATAATAAGTGGGCCAGGTTTGTCAGCTTCGGTAATTTTCAAGATGGGTGGACTTCAATTCCCAGAATTCCCCAGATAGTCTCGTGAGACTTCAGCAAGGCCAGTAACTACCTCCCAAAATCAGTAGAATGACTTGTCTCCAGAAGTTGTGGGTGCTCCATCACTGGAGGTTTTTACGAAGAGATTGGACAGCCATTTGTCTGACATGATATATAGCAGTCATGGCGAACCTTTTAGAGCCCGAGGGCCCAAACTGCAACCCAAAACCCACTTATTTATCGCCGGGTGCCAGGTGGGTGTGGCCCACTGGATGGGCGTGGCTGTGGTGGTCATGGCAGACTGGATGGATGTAGCCAAGGTGGGCATGGTCACCATGATGTTGCTCGTGGGGAGAGACGCCTGTGGGGGCCGGGCAGGGTTGGGGGAGATCCAGGGGATCTCTGGCAGGTGGGGCGGTGGGCAGGAGACTCGTCCTGCGGGGTGAGGCTGGGCAAGGCGAGGCAGGGCAGGGGTGCCATTGTCGCAGGGCAAGGCGAGGCAGGGACCAGGGCAGCTGCTGCCTGACACCATTGACCCCCGCACACAGAAGCCAGCGAGCGCATGGGGGCCGACAGTGTCCGTCAGCAGCCACAGGTTGCCAGCCCCTCGACTGGCGCACTCTGGAGCTCCGCAGCCCGCCACCAGCAGTTCAGAGAAGCTGCCTCTGAGCTGGATGGCCGGCTGACAGCTGAGAAGGCGATGCATTGGGTTGTACCTGGGAAAAGGAGAGCATGCAAGGCCAGGAGGGATGGGATGGGGGGGGGGAAGGACGGAAACCAGCCATGCTGGGATGCATCCAGCCATGTGGGAGCTCTGCAAGTTAGTGGGTGGCTGGTTGAAGAGGGACGGTTGCCAACTCCAGGGCATGGTACGTGTGCCCACAGAGAGGGCTCTGAGTGCCGCCTCTGGCATGCGTGCCATAGGTTCGCCACCACTGGTATATAGGGTTTCCTGCTTGCACAGGGGGCTGGACTAGAAGACCTCCAAGGTCCCTTCCAACTCCGTTATTCTGTGCAACCCAAAGAGTTGAAGAACTAAAAGACCATCGGTCTGGAGGCGTCCTCGATCATTGCTTGGCATTATAATTGCAGAAAATGCACCAATGATCAGGGCATTGGAAAAACAAGTCTGACATTTCTTGCCTTTAGCTAACCCCTTCTGAGCCCAAGTGGGAAAAGATTAAATATGGAGCCTGGTACCTTCCCCCAAAGACATGGAAAAAGAAGCGAGCAACTGAGAAGGAAGAAATTCCTGAATGTCTGCAAATCTTCTTGAACGCCAGGAAGAAGATTGTCCAAAAGGTAACTTGGCAGCATTCCATATTGTATTTTTTGCTGGCTCCCCTCAGTGTTGAACCTCCTCACTACTTCTGGTGTGTGTTTTAGCCCTATTTGAAACATATTGCTTTTTAATTCTTTATTAATACTGCACTGATGATGTTACTTAATTTGGTAACGAAACATCTTCAAGAAAACCATCAAGCTGAGAGACAGCACCAAGTACCTCATGGTCATAGTCTTCTTCTTCTTCTTCTTCTTCTTCTTCTTCTTCTTCTTCTTCTTCTTCTTCTTCTTCTTCTTCTTCCTCCTCCTCCACCTCCTCCTCCTCCTCCTCCTCCTCCTCCTCCTCGTCTTCTTCTTCTTCTTCTTCTTCTTCTTCTTCTTCTTCTTCTTCTTCTTCTTCTTCTTCTTCTTCTTCTTCTTCTTCTCTTCTTCTTCTTCTTCTCCTCCTCCTCCTCCTCCTCTTCTTCTTCTTCTTCTTCTTCTTCTTCTTCTTCTTCTTCTTCTTCTTCTTCTTCTTCCTTCCTCCTCCTCCTCCTCCTCCTCCTCTGCAAATCCCACTATTATTATTATTTAAAAAAAATATTTTCAATTTTACAATACATAACAATCTTACAAATACTTCAGATAAAAAATAAAACAAATCGATACACACCACATTCGGTCATGCCCGCCCATTTCCCCCCAAACCGCATCCCACCTCAAACCAACTTACTTCTTTCCCTCTTTTTCTTCACTCACCCCCTCTCCTCCTTCACCTCCACTAAATCCCACTATTATTATCCCATGTTACCTACTTGGGTCATGAAATGTCTGCAAGAAAATAACCAAGCTCAGAGAGCATAATGGACCGCTACCTTATTTTTTTTCCAGTTCTGGCTTGGATTTGCCCTTCAAATTCTTTGGGAATATTGGAGGAAAGAACACACCATTTCTTTGGATAGTAATCTTCTTTCCTGCTCCCAGTTTTATGAAGTACCTTCTGGGATATTATAGACCAGTCTAAGATGATGGAAAGACTGCCATTTTTGACTTTGCAGGGAACTTTAAAAAAAAAAGCCAACACAGTTCTAGGCTGCATTAATGGAGAGATAGAATCAAGATCGTGTGAAGTGTTAATACGACTTTACAATGCCTTGGTAAGGCCACACTTGGAATACTGCATCCAGTTTTGGCCACCACAATGTAAAAAAGATGTTGAGACTCTAGAAAGAGTGCAGAGAAGAGCAACAAAGATGATCAGGGGACTGGAGGGCAAAACATACGAAGAACGGCTGCGGGACTTAGGTTTGATTAGTCTAAAGAAAAGAAGAAATAGGGGAGACATGATAGCAGTGCTCCAGTATTTGAGGGGCTGCCACAAGGAAGAGGGGGGGTCACGTTCACCAGAGCACCAGAGGGAAGGATGAGAAACAATGGTTGGAAACTGATCAAAGAGAGAAGCAACCTGGAATTAAGGAGAAACTTCCTGACAGTGAGGACAATCAACCAGTGGAACAGCTTGCCTCCAGAAATTGTGGGCACTCCATCACTGGAGATCTGTAAGAAGAGACTAGACATTCACCTGTCTGAGGTGGTATAGGTTCTCCTGTTTGAGTGGGGGGCTGGACTAGAAGACCTTCCTTCCAACTCCTATTCTATTCTATTCTATTCTATTCTATTCTATTCTATTCCATTCCATTCCATTCCATTCCATTCCATTCCATTCCACTCCACTCCACTCCACTCTACTCTACTCTACTCTACTCTACCCTACTCTACTTTATCCTATTCCATTCCATTCTATTCTATTCTATTCTATTCTATTCTATTCTATTCTATTCCATTCCATTCCATTCCACTCCACTCCACTCCACTCCACTCTACTCTACTTTATCCTATTCCATTCTATTCTATTCTATTCTATTCTATTCTATTCTATTCTATTCTATTCTATTCTATTCTATTCTATTCTATTCTACTCTATTCCATTCCATTCCATTCCATTACTTCTATTCTATTCTATTCTATTCTATTCTACTCTACTCTACTCTACTCTACTTTACTCTATTCTATTCTATTCTACTCTACTCTACTCTACTCTACTCTACTCTACTCTACTCTATTCTATTCTATTCTATTCTATTCTATTCTATTCTATTCCATTCCATTCCATTCCATTCCATTCCACTCTACTCTACTTTATCCTATTCTATTCTATTCTATTCTATTCTATTCCATTCCATTCCATTCCATTCCATTCCACTCCACTCCACTCCACTCCACTCCACTCCACTCCACTCCACTCCACTCCACTCTACTCTACTCTACTCTACTCTACTCTACTCTACTCTACTCTACTCCACTCCACTCCACTCCATTCCATTACATTTTTTTCTATTCTATTCTATTCTATTCTATTCTATTCTATTCTATTCTATTCTATTCTATTCTATTCTATTCTATTCTATTCTATTCTATTCTGTTACATTACACTCTTTCCTATTTATTCTCTTCTCTTCTCTTCCAGTCCAGTCCTGTCCTGTCCTGTCCTGTCCTGTCCTGTCCTGTCCTGTTCTAACTCAAGTAGTCTCTTGACATGGGAAATGAACAAAATCTCTTGCAGGCCGAGGCAGAATTAGAATCGTCACTGCATGGAACGTATGCCTTTGAACAATTCCTTGAAAGGAAAGGCTACAGGAAGCCTCAGGTAAGTGAACTTCTTGGATCTGATCCCATATTGGACCTGGGCTCTCCACAGACCAATGGAGACAGTGGCATTCTGTCTCCCTTAGAGTAGTTAAATCGGTGGCTGCCAGCGTCCCAAACCTAGTGTGACTTGTCCGCTCGCCTGCCTACTGTTGGGTAGCCTCTAGCCATTTGAAAATACAGGCTTACGACTGACTCAAAAAGGGGGATTTATGACCCAGAATTCGAAGTTCTGATGGTTGAGTATCCTCTGCAGTCACATGACTGCACTTTTGGTAACTGGCAATACAGCTGCATTTATGGCCATTTGCAGCATTCTATAGTCATATGACTGCATTTTACAGTGGTTTTGCCGGAAAAAAAAACCATGCCTATAGAGCAGTGGTTCTCAACCTGTGGGTCGGGACCCCATTTGGGGTCGAATGACCATTTCACGGGGGTCGCCAAACAACGCAGTCCGCCATTTTTTCCCCCTTTTCCTTAGCTGTGCTATTCCCTTTTATTCTATTGGCTTTTGAAAGCCAATAGAATAGACTTTCTTGAATAGAGTCTAATTCTATTGGCTTCCAAAAGCCAATAGGAATTGTCCAGGCAGTCTCTGCCCTGCTGAGCCCGCCAAAAGTCCCATTCTGCAAATGGTGCTGCACCAGTTGATTAGTCCTCGACTTACGACCGGTTGAGTAGTCCTCGACTTACGACCGGTTGGGGGTCGCGGCATTAAAAAGGTTGAGAACCACTGTTCTAGGGTCTTCTGCTCGAGCAGAGGGTTGGACTAGAAGACCACCGAGGTCCCTTCCAACCCTATGATTCTATGTTCTAAGTTAGTGGTTCTCAACCTGTGGGTCGGGACCCCATTTGGGGTCAAACGACCATTTCATCGGGGTCGCCAAACAAGGCTGTCCACCATTTTTCCCCCTATTCTTTGGCCACGCCCCTGGCACCCGGTGATGTATTATGGGGAACTGTATTATGGGGTCGCAGCGTTAGAAAGGTTGAGAACCACTGCTATAGAGAATTATTGGTTCGCTTGATGCAATTGTGGTCATCCGTCAAAGACTGCCTGTAGATGTAATAGAATCACAGGGATGGGAGGAACATTGGAGATCCTCTAGTCCAGCCCCCTGGACCAAGGCAGGAGACCTTATAAAACTTAAAATACTTGTGGTACCTGCTCAACATCTTGTTTTTTCCAGGTAAGACCAAATAACCACCCATTAATCAAAGTCTGCTTCTACTTTGAATCTCACTTTGTTCATTCCCACATTAGTAGTTTGACATCATGGATTGCTCTAAGAGAAACATGAGAGTGTTGAGAGAAAGCAAAAAGACAACCAGCCATTAGGAGTTTTCAGTCCAAAGTGGGGGGGAAACAACAATGACAGGACAAGATTTCTCAGTTCTCCCCCTTAAAATTTCCCTTCAGTGGGCCCTAGGACAGGGGTAGGCACCCTTGGCTCTTTTATGACTCATGGACTTCAATTCTGGGAGTGGAAGTCCATGAGTCATAAAAGAGCTGAGGGTGCTTCCCCCCCCCCGCACAATTCCTTTCAAGAAGCTTGTAACATAGGTCAGTTTTATTATTCTCTTCTTGCAGGCTTACTCAAGTCACCTATTCAACTGATGTACAGCAGTGGTGGCGAACCTATGGCACAGGTGCCAGAGGTGGCATTAAGAGCCCTCTCTGTGGGCACGTGCGCCATTGCCCCAGTCCTAGGCCTTCAGCTGGGTTTTATAAAACCTTTTCGCTTTAGGCCTCCACCACCATGTGCAAAAATAAAAATAAAAAAAGGTTAAATCAGTCAATTTCAACTTCTCGTGGAAAAAAAAAAGATCTTGCAAAGTTGAAATTGATTGATTGAACTTTTTAGTCCCACCCAGTCTGCCGTTACCACCGCAGCCATGCCAGCCAATGGGCCACACCCACCTGGCACTCGACGATGCATAAGTGGGTTTTGGGTTGCAGTTTGGGCATTCAGTGTCTAAAAGGTTTGCTATCACTGATGTAGAGGGAAGATTGAACCAGGGACTTTTTGATTGATAGCTTGACCCCTTGATCTTCTCAGATGAATTAGCTCTCCTGTTGCCTTTGATCCAACAGGCTTCACAGCTTTGGGGAAAAACCCCCACAAACTAATCTAAATTGTCCATTTTAAAACCCTTATTTAAGTTGCAGTAAGGGTTGGTATTTTGTAGTTCAATCTTTTGCATTTGTTTGCCACCCAGAGTTGCCTTGTGCTGAGTTGGGTGGCAAACAAATTTTAAATTATTATTGTTATTATTGTTATTGCTGCTGCTGCTGCTGTTGTTGTCATAAAGTTCAGAGGCTTTTAAGAGTCTGAATATGTATGGAACTAAGAAAGGAATCTGTTGGCAAGAATTGTTATGAGGCTGATTCCTGAAGCATTAAGTAAATGTTTGCAAAGTTCCTTTAGAACAGTGGTGCTCAACCTTTTTAATGCCGCGACCCCCAACCGGTCGTAAGTTGAGGACTACCCAACCAGTCGTAAGTCGAGGACTACTCAACTGGTGCAGCACCGTTTGCAGAATGGGACTTTTGGCGGGCTCAGCAGGGCAGAGACAGCCTGGACTCTATTCAAGAAAATCTATTCTATTGGCTTTCAAAAGCCAATAGAATAAAAGGGAGTAGCACAGCTAAGGAAAAGAGGGAAAAAATGGCGGACTGCGTTGATTGGCGACCCCCGTGACATGGTCGTTCGACCCCAAATGGGGTCCCGACCCACAGGTTGAGAACCACTGATTTAGAAAAAAGCAGAGAATAAAGGGTATAATGATAAGAAGGAATAACCTTTTACCTAGCAGCTCTTGTCTTCTTAGAACTCACCCCCTCCCCACACACAAACACACTACTCCAAAGAAAACAGGCATCCAGACCACATATACTACACCCACAAATAGTTTAAAGGTCACTTTGCAGATTAGTTATCATACACACATATTTTCTGCCAATAGATTAAGGAAGAGTAGTGCCTATCTCCCCTAGGAATGTCATTCTGGCTGCAGTGCTACCTCAGCTATTATATAGTATTAGATCAGGGCTTTTCAACCTTTTCACCCATTGTACCACTTTTAGGATATGTCTTGCAGGATACTAGTGACTTCCTCCCTAGAGTGAGGAAGGTGAAAATTTTTCCTAGAACATTGTCAGATCATAGTCCTGTGTGGATGGAGTTATATTCGGAAGACGGGAATAGAAGATTCTGGAGATTGAATGAGAACTTATTTAATCGGGAGGAGTTCGTACAAAAGTGTAAAGAACATTTAAAGGACTTTTTTACTATAAATATGAATAAGGGAACATCGATGTCTATGGTGTGGGACGCTAGTAAAGCATATATGAGGGGAATTTTGATTCAATTGAATAAAGTTTTTTGGGAAAAAGGGTTACAAAGACGTAGAGAAATAGAAGAAGAGATCAAATCAAAAGAACAAGAGTTGGTTCTTAATCCTACTGATAATAATTTAAAGGTATCTATAAAGATGCTTAAGGAACAATTTAACATGTTGATGGCAGATCAGGTGGCTACCAATCTGTCGTACATGAGACATAATACTTTTTGCAATGCGAATAAGCCGGGGAGGTGGTTGGCTTATCAGTTACGAAAGAAACAGAAAGCTAGAATTATAGAGAAAGTAAAATATAAAGGTACTGAGGTTTTTCAGCAAGATTTGATTAGAAAAAGCTTTTTGGACTTTTACACAAAATAATATTCAAGTGATAATATAAGGGGTTTGGATATAGATAAATATTTACAATCAGTACATTTTCCTAGACTTTCAGAGGAACAACAAAATGGGATGAATATTTTAATTACTGTGGAGGAAATTGGTTTAGCTATTAAGCAGTTAAAGGTTGGAAAGTCTCCTGGAACAGATGGACTGACTTCTAGGTATTATAAGATATTATCTGAAGAAATGATAGAGCCATTAAAGGAACTCTTTAATAGTATTTTGTTGGGTATGCAAGTTCCTCCTTCTTGGAAAAGAGCCTTTGTATCACTGATTCCGAAGGAAGATCAGGATCTTACAGAGCCTAAGAATTATAGGCCAATTTCATTATTGAATGTTGATTATAAGATCTTTACAAAAATTTTGGCAAATAGATTAATGCAGGTTATGAAAGACTTGATTCATAGTGATCAAGCAGGATTTATAACGGAGATATATGAAACATAATGTTAGACAAATTATTAACTTAATTGAGTACTTGGATAAGAATAATCAGATTCCTGTGGCTTTTATCTTTTTGGACGCTGAAAAAGCTTTTGATCAATTGGACTGGCAATTTTTATTTTCTTTGGTAGAGAAAATGAATTTTGGGGATAATTTTTTACATGCACTTAAAGCTATATATCAGTAGCAATCTGCACAAATTGTTGTAAATGGGGGATTGACTGAGAATTTTAATATTCAAAAAGGGACAAGACAAGGATGTCCATTATCCCCATTGTTATTTGTTTTAACATTGGAAATTTTATTGATTCAGATTCGGGAATCGAAGTTAATTAAGGGTGTAAAGATAAGGAAGAATGAGTATAAATTGCGGTCATTTGCGGATGATTTGGTTTTAATTTTGGAACAGCCGAATCAGGCGATTGATGGTTTATTAGAACTTATAACACAGTATGGGAATGTTTCTGGTTTTAAAGTTAATAATTATAAGACTAATATATTATCTAAGAATATGTCAGTTAAAGAAAGGGAAAGTTTGATTAAAGCCACAGGTTTTCAGATGGTAAAAAAGGTTAAATACTTGGGAGTATATCTAACTGCTTCAAATGGAAAATTGTACAAGAACAATTACGAACCACTATGGGCAAAAGTCCAAAAGGATTTAAGAGATTGGAAAAAATTGCAATTGTCATTGTTGGGGAGAATTTCAGCTGTAAAAATGAATGTTCTACCAAAGTTTCTTTTTTTGTTTCATATGATACCTATTCTTAAAAAAGAGGCAAATTTGGAGGAATGGCAAAAGGGTATCAA